TTAATTTGAAGAATATTTTAGGGATATAATTAACTAGAACTGAAAAGGTATTTAAGAATCTATTACTATATCTTGCAAGGGATTATTTCTCTAAAGATTTCACTTATAGCAGAGACATAAAAATATTCATGAACAGTAATAACCTTCAGGTTTTAGTTATCAGCTTAATAATGGCATACTTAAAAGCAAGAGATGGCTGCCTTTTTTTCCTTTCCTTCTTTTTTACTGACCAGACTACATAAAATGGATAAGAATTGCTTTTATCATTTATGCATACATATTATTTTAATTTGAGTATAGATTTAAATTTTTGGATGGAATTAATTTAAAAACAAGAGCCAATTATATCACATGAGATTTATATAAAAGATGAACATGAAATAACTTTTAAATTATATTTAATAATTATAAATCATGACAATTTGAAACTTGTAAAAACCTAAATTATATGTTCAGATATTAACCTTGAATTTTAAATATTATCACCTATAAAGTGACTACTTAATAGGGGGGGAGATCAAATTTATTTGTGAATTCAGTCATAGTTTTAATATTTTATAGGGAATAGATCATTGTGATGGACAGATGCCTGAAAACAAAGTCAAAGTTGATCAACAAAAACAGTATCCTTAATGTTTCAATTTTATTTATTTTTTTTGTGTGAAGATTAATTCAAATCTTTATGGGATTATTTTCACTTATACTTGCCAAATTTTCTTATTAATTATATCTGTCATTATCACATCCATAAAATGGGGATGATATTCTAAAGCTTCTTTATACCAATTGTGTGGATAAACATTAAAGTTTTGAAAAAATGGAGATTATAAAGTCTCATAGGTGGAGAAAATCATTTATACTCTAAAATAGAACTTGGTAGACTTTTCCTTCTAAACACCACTATTAAACTACAGATCAATTATCAACCTAAGAGAATGTACACCACTTCTCTTCCATTGAATTGTAGCATTGAAAGGGATATTAAAGGCCATTATTTGTCCATCAGGTTATAGGTAAAGGGATTTTTTTTTAAATGGAATATGCTATCGATAAGTTTAAACATTTATGTATAGATGTATAGTCGGGCCTGACTTTCTTGCCTCTATTCTAGTTTTTTTTAACTGCCATTCTCCTTTCAAATTAAAAGAAGAGATAGAAAAGGAATGTGAAAATTTGTACTTCGTTATAGTAAAAGTGTTACCACGTTGTGTCAGGAGCATAGAGCAGCCTAGAAAGAAGACTAGAAGGTGGAAGACCTGAGATGGACTGTTTTCAGCGGTGTTGGCCAATTCGGTTACAGCTGTCTGAGCCTCACTTGCACGGGTACCACATATAAATGTGGCCAAAATGCAGTGCTCTTTGAAACATTAAATATTATATTTTTGTTTTCAGTATAGTTTGGGATTATATTTTATTGGACGGTACTATTTGCCTCTTCATCTCACTAGCATATTTGAACTAAATCTCCCACTTCATTCCAGATCTGAGCAATTAATGGCCAATTTTGTCCACAATACTTTTTGTCATAGAATTATTTTCTGATGGACTCTATTTAAAGAGATTCCATTCAAAAACTATATGTTTGAATGCGTCCTTAGGGAAATAATAGGAATACCCGACTTGGAGTCTGATATGTAAAAACATTGACAATGGATTGAAGCTGACTCCAATGTGCTGCACATGGTTCCTGTGATACATTTTCTGGTGTGAACCATCATGGAAATGATTTATTTTTCCCTTAAGACACATGAGACACTTTTTAGCATAAGCTCTGCTGAATTCTGGATGGCTTTGTAAATACAGAATATGAATACATCATATAGTATATGGTGGCACAGCAAGCTAAGAGTTCGGGCTGCAAGAAGTGGCTCAAACGAACCAGCTGTTCCATCAGAGAGAGGTGAGGCTAGTGTTCCCATAGCGACTTACAGTCTTGGCAACATGAGCAGCAGTTCCATTCTTTCCTGTAGGGTCACTGGGAGTGAGAATTGACTCAGTGGCAGTGGTTTTATACATATGTACATGTATACTTACATATCTTTCCTTATATTTATGCACAAAGATTAAAAATATTTTATATAAATAGTATGCAGGTTCTAGGACACGTAAGTTCTGAAAGAATCAACAATAAAATACAAAATCATTGTAATTGTGACCTATGGTTTGGAAGTGAAAAAAGGAAAAATTTGAAAATGAATAGAATTCTCCATATGTACCATATTTGAAGGAGTTAAATGTGTAGGAAGTTATAAGGTTGTTTTTACTGGCTCGCTTTCTTTAATTGAATTAGCAGGCTAATATAATCAAGTTACTATTTTCCAAGGTGATTCCAATAAGCAGAATTTATTATCTTTGTTTTTAATTATGTGTAGAAATATTAGAGTCCTAAGTAAATGAGCTTTCTTTTTCCAGCATTATTGATGATGCTGCATGATCTGTTATTTATAGTATTTCCAAGAAAGCACAAGGAAAAGGCAAGGTACACCCATGACTTTGAAATAAATGAGCTCAATTGTTTTCATGACTTTCTTACTGAATGTATTAATAGAATGTAGTTCTCAAAACTTTTGTCTTCATTCAAGTATATATACTTGATGTATATATAACTCAGTCACACAAGTAGATGTTAGGTCAATATATGTTGAGAAAACAATTATGTGTAGGGGATAAGGATTTTATCAAGAATAAAGGCTAATTATAACCAACTAAACATTTTCTAGTTTATTCTAGATGTAAATGATTAAGTTAAAGATTAGCTTTTAATTGAGCAATAATGATTATTAGTAATTTTACACTTGGTATTAAGAAAACATACTTTATATGCCATTAACATTTAAATCTATTTCATCCTGAAAAACATGCTGTTTTTAGAGCACCACAGGATCACTTCTTTGGGCAAAGGAAGCTGGTTGTTGGGGAACATCAATCAAACTGGATACTTTAGGGTCAACTATGACCTAAGGAATTGGAGATTATTAATTGAACAGTTAATAAGGAACCATGAGGTAAATTCTGGATTTTCTCTTTAAAATCTGTTTTCAGATATGACCCCTGGATTTTAATTCAAAATTTCTAACCAGAAAAATATTTTTCTGGTTGGCCTCATAGGTGCTCTCAGTCAGTAACCGAGCAGGTTTGATCGACGATGCCTTCAGCCTAGCCAGGTAGGTATATTTTCCAATGGAACTACACAATACTAGTGAGACTTTCTCTGTTAAATTCAACTGCGTATATGTTCTGAGAAATCTTCTGGAATAATTTGCCTCATGTGCTCTGGGTTTGGGATATGAATTATAATCATATGATCTTGATCAATAGTAGCCATAGGGTGTTTCCAAGTCAGAAGAAGCTTGATCGATTTCACTGAAAATTCAATTGAACACTCTGGAGATTAATAATTGCTTCACCATTTCACTAATTAACTCTACAAAATGGAGCCATTGCACCATATTTAATGTTTGATAGATTATACTTTTAAGTGTTAGCAGTTTTTTCTCTTACATAGATTAGTATATCTTTTTAAAATGTGATGCATTTTGAAAAACTAGTGCTTTTCAGAAGCAGGTAGTTTCAAATTTTGATTAAAGCTACAGATTAAGCATCTCAAGGCAAGATTCATAGCAATTTTATAGTAGCAGTTTCATTAATACTTTTTTCATAATTTGTTATACTATTAAAGTAAATTATGCTTTGCATAGTCTTTAAATTAAATAACTTGATAATAAACCCAAGTGACTTACTCAGTTTGGAGACTGAGTAGTATAACAGCTTAGTTCTGACTCATTTGTACTGCTTCATATGCAAATTTTAATTTAGTAATTTGATTTTACAAGCTACAGATTAGGACACAGTAGTTCTCTTAACTTACGTGTTTGTCATTCATTATGTTAATTCTCCTATGATACTGTGAAAACCACTTAGAGATGTCTGATGCGTTAGGCATTGTCTCATAATGGGGCCTGAAACTGCTTTCACAGTGTGCATATTCCATCAAATATCAATTTTCTTCTACATGTTAAAAAGCATATAGTTCCCTAGAGCTTTGTATTTAATCAAAACTAATGAGCCTAAATATCGATCCCAGATAATTACATTGATAGAGGCAAAATCAAAGTTTGGAATCAGGTTTCAGAAAACAGCACCCATTAAATAAATAATAGTAGACAAGGGAAACCTCATTAAAACAGGCAAAGGACTTTCAGTGGTTCTTTTAAAAGAAATTTATTTCTGGTCTTTGCCTTTTTCATTGTTAAAGAAGCCGAGAACCTGTATTAATATTTTCTGTTACTTGATGAGTGATCCTGTCAATGCCTCATTTTGGGTAGACCTTCAGGTACAAAAATAGCTCCTAACAGAATGATAAAACTAAGGATAATTTAGCAGCAATAAAATGTCTAATACAGTTGTCTTTATTCAATACAGTTGTTTAATGAGAAACATTTTTTGCTTACAACCGGGTAATTATGAATTATTCCATATTACAACATCAACTTATTGGGCAAACATTTAGAAATAATAGAGATTGAGAGGATCTCTTGAGATATCTATGTGTGTAAATCATGATTAAGAAGTATTTCTTGCTTGAAAGTATGATGTAAAGACTTAAAGTATGTTTTAGATATAGTGGAAAGATTAAGTCAACATAGAAGTTCCAAAAAATACAGAAAGTCAATGAGAATACACTTACTCTAATATTGCACCCAGAGAAAAATCATGAAAATCAAGTGGATGCAATAAATTACCACGGAAAGATAAAGTAACTAGCAGAAAAATTATATCAAGAACTAACAATTACCTGAAACTTAAAAGGCACCAGACACAAATCTCTTTACAGTTATTAATTTAATGAATAATTGATAAAGCCTTATGAAATATGTAGGATTTGTTGTTGCTGCTGCTGTTAGGTGCCCTTACGTCTGTTCTGACTTACAGTGACCCGAAGTATAACAGGACTAACATGCCCGTCCTGTGCCACGCTCACAACTGTTAGGCTTGATCCTATTGCAGCCACGGTGGCAATACAGCTTTTTCTCTGCTCCTCTGCTTTACCAAGTGAGATACTCCTTTCTAGGGACTGGTCTCCATCATGTCCGTAGTAAATGAGATGAAGTTGAAGCAGCATTCTGGCTGTACTTCTTCTGAGACAGATGTGTTTATTCACTTGACATACATCGTACTCTCAACATTTTTTTTTGCCAGCAACATAATTGAGATGTGCTGACTCTTCTTCAGTCTTCCTTACTCAGCGTCCGACTTGTTCGATGTCATGTGTGTATGACAGTGTCCGACTTGTTCAATGTCATGTGTGTATGACAGTGTCCGACTTATTCGATGTCATGTGTGTATGAGGGAACAGAGAATACCATGGTGCCTTGGTCCTCAAAGTAACGTCTTTGCCTTTCAATGGTTTGTTTTCTATATGTAGGATGATCCTATTATTATTACTATCTTATGAATGAAGAAACTAAGGATTAGAGAAGTTATTTAACTTGACCATGTAAGACAGCTAGCAATTAACAGAGCAAGTATTTGCAGCCAACTTGTGGGACGGTAGAACCCAATCTGTTAAAAAGGACAGGATTCTACACTTCAATGGCAATGCCATTTATTTTAATAAAAAGGCAATTTACTTTAGAAAACTGAAGGACTTTAAAAACACATGTATATAAAGAGGGGGTACCCCCCGCCCTCCAAATGGAAAAAAGCCCCACTGGGCAGAACTTTCATACTGTGCATTTTTCCTGCTAGGTGAGCAACTTGCTCTTAGTGCACCCAGGGGCATCACCTGGGGAGGTTCTTTCTGGTCTCAGTGAAATTTTTTTTTTAAAGCAGTATCACTGGAAGCTCAGTTTTTCTGATGGCCAATTTAAGAGAACAGGATTCAGTTGTGAAATTTTATTTCCTGCCTGGAAAAAATGCCTCAGAAACTGTTGTGATGTTGAACACAGTTTACAAGGACAGCACTGTGGGAAAAACTCAAGTGTATGAGTAGTTTTCTTATTTCAAGAAAGGTGAAATGCCGATTGATGATAAAATTTGTTCTGGACATCCGTCAACATCTCGAAAAGACAAAAATGTTGACTCATAATCCATTTGGAGTTCCTTCCACCAGGTGAGATTATTAATCAAGCTTTCTATCTAGAGTTTCTGAAACGTTAGTGTAACTGTGCTACAAAAATCCCCTTATTTGTGGCAGATGGGGGGTCTGCCTCTGCCACCACAACAGTGCATCTGCTCAGGTAGCCATCTCAGTGTGCTAATTTGGGGCAAAAAACAGCATGTCCCTCTGGCCCCATGCATCTTAACTCACCTCACTCTGTGCAACTTCATTTTGTGTCCATGAATCCAGATGGGCATGAAAGGACAGCCATTTGAGGACATAGAAGGTGAAGAAAATAATGAGGGAGGTGCTGTCAGCCATCCAAACGGAGGACTTTTGATAATGTTTCTAAGAATGGAACCACAATGTATTAATGTAATGGAGAGTACTTTGAAGGTGATAAAGGTTGTTTTGTAAAAAATTTAAATACATAGCTTTGAAAAAAATAAATCCGTGTTTTTTTTTCCTTTGGGGGTGTACCTCCTCATATTCTGAAAGTTTTAGAATGCTGTTGAGAAAACAAGTAGCGATGTTTTAAAGACAGAGAGCGAAAGAAAATGGAAAACAAGTGATTATTTTTTACTCATTCACATTAAAATGTTGTTTTTAAATGGAATGTTTAAAATATTTGTAACCTTTGTCTGCCTGTTAGAATATTATTAGATATACATCCCCCTAATATATATTCCTTGTTGACTGTGTTAGAACATTGCTTTCCATTTTAATTTTGGAAGTCTAACACTTGAAACAAACCATTTTATTATCATTTATAAAAATTCACCAGGGAATATGAAATGTCATTAAAGCTATAATTATGAATTTTAAAAATGATCATGAGATTCCTTCATTTTAACATATGTAGTTGTAAACAAAGACATATGGATGCGATACCCAGGAATCAATCTCCTCAATGTGTGGAAATGCATATAAGGAAGCTCAATATCCTTATCCAGAATTAAACCAGGGGCAAAGTATGGAACAGACCATCAATTGCTACTGTGCAAGTTCAAATTGTAACTGAAAAAAAATTTTTAAAGTCCAGTAGGAGAAAAATATGAGTATTCAGATGAGTATATCCCACCAGAATTTAGAAAACATATCAATAATAGCCTTGCAGCATTCTTTGAACATCAATGATTAAAGACCAGATGCATTTTTGGATGAGCATCATAGATGAAGAAAACAAAAAATCATTAAAAAGAAAGGAAAGGTAGAAGACATCAAAGTGGATGTCAGAAGAGACTCGGAACTTTGCTATTTATTGATCATAGAGCAGCTAAAGCAAATTGAAAAATTAAAGACAAAGTAAAAGGACTGGCTTGAAAATTTTATAGGATGGCTCCAGAAGACAAAGTAAAGCATGATCATGAATATGCATAAACGTTTAGTTAGAAAACCTAAATAGAAGAACATGCAGCATTTTTCAAAATGAAATAAATGAGAAAAAATCTCAAGTCTTGAGCTAAAATACTGAAGGATTCTATGGACAATATACTTAATAATGCAAGAAACATTAAAAAAGAATGAAAGAATACATAATTACTGTACCAAAAAAAATGGTCAACATTCAACCATTTTAAGATGTCACTTTCCGGATTAAAGTTTGCCTTATCAAAGTCGTGATATTTTCAATCTCTTCACATGCATGAGACAGAGGGACACAGAATGGCAAAAGACTGGAGAAGAATTAATCATTTGAATATAGTATTGGCAAAGAATATTGTATATACATGGGTGGCCTGAAAAAGTGATCAAACTGTCTTTGAAACAATACGGACAGAATGCTTCTTCAAGGTAAGGACGGTGAGACTTCATGCCAAGTACTTTGCACGTGTCCTCAGGACTGGCTAGTCCCACGGTTGATAGTGACGAAGAAGAAGCTCATGTGTGCAGAGTAAAATGACGCCGTCAGTGTTGTAAGACTGGTATCCTTGGAAAGCAGAGAGCCAGGCCTTCTTCTCTGAAGGTTCTGGGTGAGTTTGAACCACCAACCTTTCGGTGAGTAGCTGAACGCTTCACCATTTGAACCACTTAGGTTCTTACTCTTTTGCAGGTAGGAGCCCT